AAAAAAAGAATATGCAGAAATAAATGTGTTGTATATATTTATTTATTCATCTCTTAAAGAGTTGAACAAATATACTCCCTGTCTCATGAGTTAATGTGGGAAGGGTGTTAAGGTGCCAAGTAGGAGAACAAATTATTTGTTAAGGATGTTATTCCTATTAAAAGAGTTATTTTGCAGTATCCACCTGCCTAAAAATCTTTAAATATAGATTTTCTTTGAGGCTGCTGGGGAGGACTTTAGTACAGACTTACCTAAATTCTAAAGTTAGCCATTTTTTGGTGTATGTCTTCAGTCATTTCCCTTTTGAAGGAAATTAAATGACTATAACTCAGAAAAGAAAAAAACAAAAACAAAAACTTTTTAGCCAAATAATCCGAACATTTTCCTTTGGGAAAACTTACTTCTAAGTTTACTTAAATAAATTAAAAATTATTAAGCTCCTACTATGTGCAATTAGTTGTCCCAGGTTCTGGTTGGGGTAAGAAAGGCAGAGTAAGGGTTGAGAAATACCTGTTCAGCAACAGTATACTGAAAAGATTTTAGCCATTAGTATACACAGTCTTATAAAGTAAACCTTGGGGCAAAAACCATATGAATGTAACTGTGCTTTCATTTTTTTTCTTTTATAAGTAATGGAAAAGGAAAAAAATAAGGAATTCTCAGTTGGTATCTTTATTAGAGTCTTTTGAGAGAGGTTGCCTATGAGGAAGTCTAGTAAAATCAGCCTCATATACATTTATTTTACAATATGATAAAAACATTGTCGCTGCATTCTTTTTCTATTTTAATGTGTTAAACTGAAACAAGATACCGATTGTTATTTTCTTCTACAATGATCTTGAAAATTCAGACTAATTTTTCTGGTGTCATTTCTCAGTAGGATTTTAGACTCTATATGTAAGAAAACACTGAGGTTTCTCCCATATCTATGCATTTGTGATTTAGAATGTTTTTAGAATGTATCTCATAATTTACTTTCATAGAATAATATCATGTCCTATTATATGTGATTGTACCATGCAAAACGCATGAGGAACCATGATCAGGAAACTGATGAGGCAGTTTTTTTTTTTTTTTTTTTTTTTTTTTAAAAATG